CGTAGGGGAGTAGGGAGTTTTCTATTGGTCCACATGAGTGTGATCAGCCAATAGCTGCTGCTAAGATCAGCATGCTTTCATCAATAATAACAATGATGGGACTTTACATTTATAGAACAGTTACTAAGAGCTGGGCACTGTGTAAAGTCTATTATGTGTATTATATCAGTCTTCCCAAGAGTCTTTTCAGTGAAGTGCATTTATTTTACTGATGGGAAAATTAGAGCGTAGAAAGTTGGAAGTAACACTCCCCTAAGGTCACAAGAGACGAGTCAAGATCCAAGTCCAGGCCACTTGAAGCACGACCGCCACTCGGCACCGTCCCCTTTTCCTCAACCCCTAGCGTTCTCTCCTTAACGCTTGTTAGCTTTCCCTCCATGTTTCCGTCTTCATTAAAGCTTTTTTGGATTTTACCCGGCAGAAGACCTCACTCTTTCTTTTAGACCTCCATTTCACATTTTCTGCTTTCTTAGTTTATGGCCTCCCTACAAGATACAAAGGATTATCAGACCGTAAAATGCAATTTAGTTCCTCTTTTACGTGGCCTCTCTCCTCTATTAGGCATCTTCCTGAAAGCAGGGGCTTTAGATTCAAATAGAAGGTAGGTTAGGATCCAGGCTGCATCACTTAATAGCCCAGTAACCTTGAGAAAATTTCATCACCTCTCTGTGCCTTAGTTTTCAGTAAAGGCAATTATTGGTCGAACATCACTATGTATTTGGCACAGCGCTAGGCACTAAGGTTACAGTAGTGAACAAAACGGAACAGACAAGGTCCTTGCTCTCTTGAAGTGTATCATTTAATAGAGTGAATAGACAATACATACATGAAGACATAAAATAGGATAATTTCAGGTAGTAGTAAATGTTACGAAGATTGGGGCTAGGTGTCAGGAAAGGCCATCAGAAGATTGCTGTCAAAGCAACTTTTACTCAGAAATATTTGAGTACCTACTCCATGACAGGCATTCTTCTAAGGTACTGTTTTATATATCTTTGAAGTCAATCTAGAGAGTCATGCTTTCATGAAACTGACACTTCAATGTGTGAGTGTGGGGCTAGAGATGGAAAAAAATATAATAGGGTAGTCTAAGAATAAGGGACTCTGTAGGGACTAATTTTGATTAATTGGTCAGGGAGTTCTTCTTTAAGGTAATTTACCTACGTTAGGTTGGGAAGAATGTTTCAATTAAAGGGAACAACTAGTATAAAGACCTATAGGTAGGAAATGATAGGTAAAAACTGAAGTAAGGAGCAGATCAGAACACTTAAGACCAAAGTGTAACAAAGGTGGCATTGTTAATTCTGACATTTTGGTGCAAGTGGGCCAAGATCTAAAACATGTCAGGTCTTATATAGCTGGTAGAGGGGGAGCTGGTTTCTATCAAGGACCACCAAACTGTTGTTCTCATTAGGATGTCAAAGATGTCATGTCATGATAGAGATTCTCCTGGCAGGTTCTTCTTATCAGAGTGTCAGCATATTTCTGTTAGATCTGTAATTGAGCCTTGCAAGTATGTGCAAGGATGAGCCTGCAGCACGTCTCTCTCTTCTTTATGTCAACTAATAACAGTCTCACGGAGTGGCTTTTCAAGATGGAGTTAATTTGGCCAACCTAACAGGAATGAGTTCTGTATATTCAAGACAGAGAAAGGAAACCAGTTTTGCTGGAACATGGTGAGGAGTATAATAGGTGAGGATACAATGTGTATAAGGCTTTGTAAACTACCACAGAGTTGATATTTTATTTAAGTACAATGGGAAATCCATTAGAGGCTTTTAAGCAGAGAATGACATGATTTAACATGTTTTTAAAAAATCATGGGGTGGGGGCAACACCCCCGGAATGAGCAACAGATATTAAGATATTAAGAGTAGGGGTAAGGGCTCGGCGCCTGTAGCTCAAGAGGTTAAGGCGCCAGCCACATATACCAGAGCTGGCGAGTTCAAATCCGGCCTGGGCCTGCCAAACAATGATAACTACAACCCAAAAATAGCCGGGCGTTGCAGCAGGCACCTGTAGTCCCAGCTACTTGGGAGGCTGAGGCAAAAGAATCGCTTAGGTCCAGGAGTTGGAGGTTGCGGTGAGCTGTGATGTCATGGCACTCTACCCAGAGCGACAGCTTGAGGCTCTGTCTCAAATAAAATAAAATAGTAGGGATAAGGAGACCAGTTAGGAGGCCCTTGCCCAGAGACCTTGTAATAGAGATATACAGTAGTTTTCGGCAACAGCAATTATTATCATCACTGTTTGGCACTGTGCTCTAAAGCTGTATTTAGAGTTACATATGCAACTAAGTGATGTATTTACTGTGGCGAGCAAAACTGGGGGCGAGGGAGAAACAAAGAGTTCTGCTTGTAAATGTGCTAATAGTTTCTATTCATTGCGACCGACGCTGTGCCAGACAACTTACAGACTTTTTTCCTGTTAAAAAAAATCACAATACTGCCAGTAAGTAATTTGCGTTAGTTTTGTTAATAACTTCGACTCAGACTGGGAAGGGGGTCACCTCTAAGAAGTGGCAGAAGCCAAATCCGAATCGGTCTCCACGGTCGCGTCTCTGTAAGGTACAAGGCCTCTTTTCCATTAAGCCGGTACAATTTTCTTACAGGGTTGTTAAGGGAAACAAGATCTCCCAGGAGAAGTGACCGAAGTACAGTAGGCGTGGAATCGCTGTCTCCGCCTATTCTGCCTCGGGTCTTCTCCAGTTTTGTAGCTCAAAGTGAATGAAATTCCAAGACTTGTAACCAAGACGAAACCTCCTTCCCGCAATTGATTGGTGCTGGGAGGAGGCTCGCGATTGGTGGAAAGTCCGAGGAGGCGTGCGAGGAGAGACTTCGGGCGCCTTCGGTGCCCTTACTTGGCACCACCCCCACCTTTTACGTAATTTTCTCCGACTGGCGGCGGCGCGACCCGCTGACGTTTCCACCGCTAGTTGGCGGGGAGCAGGGGCTGCAGTTCCGAAGCCTGACTGGCTGCCGGCGCCGCCTTGGAGGTGAAGTGTACTGCGCCGATTGGCTCCCGGGCTCCGGCCGCGTGTGATGTCCCGGGCCGCGATTGGCCCTCGCCTGCCGGGGGCTTCTCTCGCCGGGACTCCGGACTCCCGGAAAGTGGACGAGCTGGGGAGGGGGGCCGGCTAGCTGTGCGGACCGAGTAGGGGACCCCCGGCGTGAGGCGCCCTCACTGGGCTGGGTGGGCTGGGTGGGCGGCGGCTGCTGTGAGGAGTGCGTGGGACCACGCCTGGGACAGAGGAGCCATGGCCCCGCAGAACCTGAGCACCTTTTGCCTGTTGCTGCTGTACCTCATCGGGGCCGTGATCGCCGGGTGAGGAGCGGGGTCGGGAGGCGCGGGGCCCTCGGGTCAGCCTTTGCCGGGGCAGTAGGGGAGGGGTCCCGAGGAGGGGGCGGTGCGGGGAGCGGCGCTGCCAGACTGAGGGAATGAGAGGGACATTGCGGTGGGGCGGAGCAGTGGTAGTATGGGCCAGGCTGGTGAGGGGAGAGGAGGACCGCGGGTGACACCAGCCAGAAGGCCTTAGATCCAGGGGCCTTCAGCTCTAGGTTTGCCCAGAGGAGTGGGAGTTGGATGCCCGTGGAACACAGCATCTGGGGTATGGGGGAGGCTGAGGGAAAGAAGGTGGTTGTAAGAGGAAGCAATGTCACGCAGAGCTGAGGGGGAACAGGGGCTCCCCTGTCATGAAGGTAGAGATAGTACCAGGCCAAGCTGAGGGAATGGACATTTGTTCAGTCAAGGAGGTGGGCTGCTGTGCCCTGCTGAGCTGGGGAAAGTGAACCATACTATGCCTAGCCTGCCAAGAACCCTTGGGGGACTGACCTTAAAGTGGGTGGGTCATGCCAGGTCGAGTAAAGAGGGCAGGAAGAGAAGCCAGGAGGGACTGAAGGAAATGGGATTGGGAGAGCAAGAAGAGCCCGTGTGTGTCCCAGTTCTCGAGCTATTGATTGAGATTGAACCTGAGCTGTCGTCATGCCTATGTCTGTAGTACACTCTTGGGAAGCCGTATATTCTGAGCAGAAAGAGCAGTTCACCCATAGGTAGTAAGCTGGGACAGCCCACCGGTCCCCCCTCCTTCCCGCTTAGGAAGTGGGCCATAAATTTTAGATTTAGAAGGAACCATCTAAATTCTGTAACATTAGGTTAATAACATTTCAGAAAATAACAGCAGATGAACCCTTGAGGCTCCTTCCTGCTTTTAAGATCTATAAGCCTTTAGGGCTGGTGGCCCAGGGTGTGGTATGCCAGCCTCATATTTTAGAATGCAAGAAGCAGTAGGTCTCAGCTTCCCACAATATACAAGTTGCCCTAAATAGGGAAAGCACTACTACCTCACAAAGCTTTTTACATTGTAAGTACTTCTTCTCTTAAAGTGTTGTCCCCTGTGCATATACACTTTAGTATTGTCATTTTTCTGTGAAGTATCTTAAATTTTTCCAAAAATAATTCCTATAAAATGCTTTATTGTTTTTACTTACGATACTGTTTTTCTTAGCAATTTTTAAATTTAAAGTAACACGTACCCTTAAGTATTTAATAAAACATCAATGTAAATATTCTCAATACTGTGGCTTTAAACTTCATTCATAAGGGAGTCTCTTAGAGACTGTAATGTTGATGCTGAGTTATGCCTGCCAGCTTTTCCCTAGATTTCTCTGAGTTGTTACTTAACCATTTTTATATGAAGCATATTCTAAGTAAGCCTTACTGTTCATACAGTTAGCATTTTGTTATTAATGTTAACAATCTTTTATTTTGTTCATATTTCAAGAGATGTAAAAATTTAACAGATTATGATGTGGAGGGGAAGCCCCTAATTAATCCTCATGGAACCCCTTGTGAATGATAATTTTTGCAAGAAACGTATGAAATAATTAAATAACTTTTCCAAAAGTGTGACTAAGAACTTACAGTTCTTCTTAATATTCTGTCACATATCATCTGAGTCTTGGTAGCCTACTGCATTTTTTCCCCACTGTGTTTTTAAATTACCATCACTACTAAGCATCTCTGTTGTGAATAGCTTCCCATTCCCATTGTTGAGAGGATGCATTTTCTGAATAAATTCTGGTGGCTAAAATGACTCTGGAAAAAATATATTTTTGTGAGTGTTCTTATTTATTCATTTCATTCAGTGAATTTTTTGGGTCTCTTCAAATGGGCTGGATATGATCCCTGCCCTTAAAGTTTATTAAAGTCCTATTCTCTCTTCCCAATACTTCTTTTTGCAAAGCTGCTTTAAAATTAATTTAATTGCAGCATGGTCCCTGGGAAGGAAGTCAGTTGATCTCTACCCCCGTTCATGGCATATATATATTTATAGCTGCTGAGATGTATAGTATAGGTTCTTACATGTGGGCTTTAGCAGCTGTCTGTAATAAAAGTTTGATCTTGACAAACTAATATAACTACTAGAAATGAATGCAAGGTTGATATTTATTCCAGAAAAAAACACAACTCATTGTTCTTTCTTCAGAATTATTATTTGAGCTTTGGCTTACTCCTATTTTAATCTCTGAAGTTAATTTCAGTCATTTCAGGCCCTGCACAATGGCTCACAGCCGTAATCCCAGCACTTTGGGAAGCTGAGGTGGGTGGATTTCCTGAGCTCAGGAGTTCGAGACCAGCCTGAGCAAGATCAAGACCCTGTCTTTATTAAAAATAGAAAACCAGCCAGCCATTGTGGTGGGCACCTGTAGTCCCAACTATTCAAGAGGCTGAGACAAGAGGATCACTTAGTCCAAGAGTTTGAGGTTGCTATGAGGTATGATGTCTACCCAGGGTGACACAGTGAGACTCTGTCTCAGAAAAGAAAAAAAATTCAATCATTTCTTTTTTAACATTCCAACAGTGTTCCTATTAGGACTTTTAGGTAACAGTCTTTTTGAATACAGAAAGTCCTCCTTTGGGTTGTTTTTGACTTTTGGAAATAAGCAGCATTCACTTGGAGCCAATATAAGGAAAAAGGTGGAGAGTTAATTTGAGTATATGGTTATTGCCTGAAAATAACACAAGACTGTAAAATAAGAAAATGATTTTCTTAAGGGAATGTAGTTCTAAAAGAAGAATGCCATAGATGTTTTGAATAATCTAGCATTCCCCAAAAATGTAGCTTTCATTGTGATTGCTTTGATTTATGACTCATTACAATTTCTGGTATGTTTTCTTTTTTAGTCCTTCTGTGTATATGCAAGTGTACGTATGACTGTATACCTTTGTTTTTGTACCACTTTGTTGAGACACAAACATAAAAGTAAAAGGGGAGATAAATCTTACTTTCACTTTTAAAAATGTACCATATGACTCTTTAATGAAGTGTTCTCTTTCCCCACTTCCCAGGCGAGATTTCTATAAGATTTTGGGGGTGCCTCGCAGTGCCTCTATAAAGGATATTAAAAAGGCCTATAGGAAGCTGGCCTTGCAGCTTCATCCTGACCGGAACCCTGATGATCCCCAAGCCCAGGAGAAATTCCAGGATCTAGGTGCTGCATATGAGGTGAGTCAGGAAAAAGAATAAAGAAGGAATAAAATCTATTGGTATAGAAAAAAACCACTTAACACAAAGAAACCTTCCTTCAGGTCACTCTTATTTAAAAATAAACACTCCTATTTAAAAATAGGCCAGCACAGGGGCTCATTCCTATAATCCTAGCACTCTAGGAGGCTGAGGCAGGTGGATTGGTTGAGCTCAGGAGTACAAGAGCAGACCCTGTCTGTACAATTAGATAGGTGGTGTGGTGAGCGCCTGTAGTCCCAGCTACTCAGGATGCTGAGGCAAGGGGATCACCTGAGCTGTGACATCATAGCACTCTACTGAGGATGACAAAATGACGTTCTGTCTCAAAAAAGAAAGAATGAAAGAAAGAAAACAATAAATAAGATCATGTAAAAGTATTAAAAAAAATAAACAGTACTAATTCTGTGTTATAGTAAATCTTACATTCATCTTAGTAGATGCTATTTTCTGCCTTTTTCATATTAATATTTATTTTAATACAGAGAATAATGTTAAAAAAGACTAAACAAAAGAAAATCTGATAGATTAATAAGTATGTAATTGATTGATCTATAAAAGCAAAACCTAAATTAGGGTTGCAAACCTACATACATGCCTATGTAGACCAGACAAATACATGCAGGGAAGATACAAGATAAAATAAAATAGATATTTTGCCTCCATATTGGGAAACAGTAGGGATTATTGTGGACTTTGACAAACTGAAGCTGCCTTGCCTATTTAAAGGGAACAACTGTATATGGGACTGTAAATGGCAAAAACTCCAACCAATTTTTGTTATATACAAATGTAGACACTGCTGTGTTGCTAGATCATCTAATTTTTTAAGAGAAATTGGAAATCTAGATTTTTATATAAATTATCCTCTTACAAAAATTTAATTCACTTAAATTTCTTTTTATGCAGATGAAACAAAACACAGCTATAATTTGAATTTGCAGCCTATATTCTAGAGTTCAAAACAGTATATATCATTTCACTTAGTCTTCACTAGGACACCATCAAACATACTGTGGCTAGACATATTTTTATTCCCATTTTCTAAAAGAGCACAAAAAAATTAATTTGACTCTAAAAGTCACAAAGTTAAAACTCCTCAATTCAAGTTTAAATCCCTATATATTGAGAAACTGGAAGCAAATCAAAAAACATTTTAGTCATACAAAGACTCCCAAAGAAGACATCCCAAGACTTCCTAGATTAAAGAACACTACTAAACTGAAACAGTGACTGGATGAACCCTACAGCTGCGAGGTCCCCCTTTCCTTTTTTCTTCACATCTTTAGGGATCCTATAGGGCAGAAATTCTTAATGTGGGGCCTATGAATAAAGAGGGTTGATGGCCCCTCTTAAATTACGTGTAACATTTTGGTTCTTGTTGATAATATGGATTATGCTGGGCGCGGTGGCTCACGCCTGTAATCCCAGCACTGTGGGAGTCTGAGAAGGGAGAATGGCTGGAGCTCAGGAGTTCGAGACTCGCCTGAGCGAAAGTGAGACCCCAACTCATGAAAAAAAAAAATGGAAAAACCCAGCCGGGTGCCACGGCGAGCGCCTGTAATCCCAGAGGCTTCCGGAGGCTGAGGCAGCCGGATGCCCACAAGCCAGG